GTCTCTCACTGTATGTACTTACATAATTTGGTATGTCAGGCAGCTGAAGTTTTTGGCGCTAAGGCAAATCAAGAAATTTGTGGATGCGGAAGCAAGGAATGGACGGATCCTATTCTGGAACCAACTGCTAACTAAAGTGGCATTCTGTAGGTCTTCCTGGCTGAATCTGTTTGGTTCCACTTCTCCGAGAGCTTCAAGAGCATTTGTGAAGACAGCGTTGCTGCTGTAGGGGGCCTAGAACATGGGACGATATAGCCGGATATAACATTTGCACAGATAAGCAATCATATTGTTGAAATTGAGGTATTGGGTTTACCGTCAAACTGAATGTCTCAAGAGCCTTGTCCAAACCAGATGTTCTGTTGAAGAAAAGCTTCCAAACTTCCACTGGGTATGTCCTTCGGCTTTCCACAGAGCATTTCAGCAAAGTGACCACGTTGTCTTGAGTTATTCTTGTGGGCTGGTGAGAACGTACATGAGAAGAAATGAAGCATGAACAGCAGAACATGCAAGGATGTGGCTTCATATTATTTCTAAAGGAAAGAGTAAGTGTTCTGCTGGGACTCACTGCTTGCACCCAGCATTCTTACCGAGGAACAGGTAATTTCAGTGATGGTAAAATTACACAAGGCTGTTGAGGAGTTGTCTGCTGATAGTGTTTGTTGGACTTTAGATCTACAAAACATGATCAAAACAATTTGCCTTAGTTACATTGGGTTAAAAATGACTTGTAGACACTGCAGCAGGTACAACAGGACTATACTCGCCTATTAACTGCAGCACAAATGAGGTCCACTGTAATAAGGTCATATTTTGTATTAGATATGGATAGTTGACAAAAAGATATGTGTCATCATCACAGATATGTGAGATAAAATGCTGACTTACCATCAACAGGTGACTGCGTGCACTGGAGACAGAGAAAGCAAGAAATGTTCATTTAGAGTAAAAAGCTTCACAAAAATGAAAAGACCTTGGTATTGTTGCTAGTACAGGGTTAATGTGCCTACTGTTGTCCTGTAAATCAAGTTTCAATGCTGTATAATCAATGTAAWACAGCCTTCAAAGTGAACTTACCACAAATGACTCCAAATATGAGCAATCTGTTTGGGAGAAAAAATGGAGTTAGGCAAGGCATGAATATGTTTTGTTAGCACCAGATGTTACCAGGCTTTTCTAAAAAAATTGTCAGCAAAGTATTCCTGACACATACTTGGAAAGATCTCCTGTAGTGACTCCAAGCTTGATCTCACACCAGTTGCAAGGTCCAGAGGCAAAAATGTCAAACTATCCCGAAGACCAGTGACTCTGAGTAAAAAAAAACAAAACAAAAAAAAAAAAAAAACAGTAATTGTTGCAACTTGTTTGTAACCAAAGTTTGGCATCATTTGAACCCAAAATGTCTCAGTTTTTTCTAAGAAGTGTTACTCACATGGCTTTGTAGGATGCACAGCTGATGTTCCTGGGTATATCTGACAAGCTGCCAGGTTGCAGACTGGCTATTACAGGTCCCAAGTAAACTTGGAACCACAGTATATAGTCCACAGTCTCAAAGTCCACAAAACTGGGTGCGAGGGCTGTTAARGTCTCGTTCAAGATGATGTCTCGCACATCTCCATTTCTGATGATTGTTGTGTTTTTCTGTTAGAAATGTATCATCAACATTTTAAGTCATATACTGTTTTGTATAATTTTCATTTATATCAGTCGTCATGGTATAGTAATTCTGTATGAGTATAGTCTAATATAGTAATTCTGTTGTTTTCAGAATATTCTGAGAAGTCACCTCTTGTGTTATTTCCGTTAGTCTGCTGAAAAACAGATGAAGATGCTCAATATCGTCTGATTCCGACAATTGTGTGAGCACTGCCTGCACAAGAGTGACATTTTCCAAAACACTTTGCACATCCTGTGTTACTGTGATGTCCTTATTTGGTAGAAGCACAAGCCACTGGTTTTCCTGTAACAGATTATTTTTTCAATAAAAAATTTCAGCAGAAATAAATATTTTTTACATGTTTTCTTTTTCCCAACATTTTTTAAATGCATCACTTACGTCAGAAAAATAGTTGCTCATATTCTTTAGTTCCTCAAATGTTGCAAAGAAAAATAAACTTCCAATATTTTTATTTAGCCATTCTTCACTTCCATTTACATTTTGATTGCATCCAGGATCTGTAAAAATTAAAAATCATAAACTATGTTAAAAACTAAAATCATTTATTTTCTATTTTTTTTTCATTTTTCATCTTTGTTCAAATGTGTACATTTTTTGCACACAGTATTTATCTTTGTACCATGCAAGCGTTATAGTGGTTTTAAACAAAATGCATTTTTTTCTTTGAAACAATTAAAAATTTCATAATTTCTTTTTACCTGCCAAGTTCTTTCTTGACAGATACAATTTGATAAAGCTGCTGTAGATTAGTTTCCTTTCCACTTTTTGTAGCATCTCAACTTCTGCAGTCATTGACTTCACTCTAAAACAAATTAGTTATAAACATTTTAGACATTTATTCTCAACAAATACTTTATATGTTCTCCTATTCAAAATAAATCAGCTCTGGGTTAACAAGAAAATGATAATGTCCTTACATTTGCAACAAACATTTAATTTTTTAGTATGAACTCATTCAGAGAGTATCAGATAAACATTCAAC